GTTAAGACAAGCTTGCAAAGAAGGCCCTGAAAAGATAAGCCCCACCCAGTGCTTTTGAATACTCAGGACATTTGTATTCAAATTGACTTGCCTAGGGGGCTGTTGACAGACTGAAGAAAAAAATAGGAACCCTCTTTGGCTTTTTGAATTTTGAACTAATGGTTTGTGGCTAAAGCTGAAAAAAAAAATGGAGTTATGGAGGAAATCTCTTCTCTAGGACTGAACATTAAAGGGGGCCTGCAGGCAGCGTGAAATGCTTGCTAGGTGACCACCTGGATCCACTTGTTGAGTGGAAATGGGGGAAATGCAGCAATAGAGAGCCAGATTGAATCTGGCCACTGACACCTGTGGACCTGGTTCACAAGGAATAAAGGAGAAGACAAGAGTGAGTTGGCTGGCCTGAAATTCATGACCTAGCTCAAGGGGATGATGGTTGTTGAGAATTTGTGATGGGGCCCATGGTATAAAGGTGAGGTGACCACTGGGCATCCTAGTGAGGCTAAGTGAGGTGGCACACATTGAGTTGACCAGAACTTGACCAGATGAAGAGAAAATTTTTGAGCCTGTGAATTGGTGCATATTGCCCCTGACTTTATGAATGGCCTGTCCTGGTTTGACTTTGCTAATGGATGCAGACTCACAAAGTTCCAAATGGAACAAAGATTCTTCACATCAAAGAATATGATTGTCTCCTCAGAGCACTGGGTTGATCTAGGTGGACAGTATAGAAATTGGATACCCAAAATTGGGCGGATAAAGTCATGAAGTGGCTGGCTTACAAACTTTAATAGTTGGGGGAATACATTCGTAGGATTATACGGATTATGGTTTAGGTGTTCAGTGTTCACATAACTGAAATTGTTAAGTATGGAATGTTGTGTTCATTTATAGAATATTATATTTAAATGTGGCTGGCACATTTTGGATTGCATGTATTTTAGTTTTATCCTGTTAGAATAGATATGATTTTATTATTGTTTTGTTTAAAAATTATGTATGGCTAAGGAGTTGCGTAAAGGTGTCAAGTTGATAAGGGGTGGTCTGTGGTAGTTACACAATTTCATGTCAACTTGATAAAAGAATGAATGGGCGGTGTCTAGCCTATCAATCAGTTAATAGCCTGATGATCCCTCCTTGTGGGCATGGCCTTCTCATGAGGATTCTGGGAATTCCTTCTCTCTTGATTCTGCCATTAGAGGAGGTGGGCCTCTCTCTTTCTCTGCTTCACATTCCTATTGACAAGCCACATGGAGCCACATTGATGGTAGCTCGACCCCTGTAGATGCTCCCACCACCACTGGATCTACAAGGCTTTTCACCCACTAGCTAGTGATCTTCCTGCATTCGGCATCATTGCATGCGCTGCGTGAATCTGAAGAGGAATTCTTTTATCAGTTAATATAAGACTTATGGGCTAATATCGAACTTATGGACTTGATTTGTACTGGGCTAAGATATTTTATTGATGCATAATTACTTCTTGATATAAAGTTCCCTCTTATGCACATATGAGTGTCTCTTGATTTGTTTCTCTAGTCAACCTGGACTAACATAGCAACTTCATGACAGAGCAGTGTAATATTGTGTTAAATTTAGAACTTGGTGTTAAATATTATTTTGATCCTTAGCATTGAATCTTAAGAATCAATGGACTTAATGGAAGTAATATCGAATGAAAAAGATATTATTTTCACAGAAATATTTCTTAACAATAGAGGAAAGAACCAGGAGACAAAGGACATTTATAGAGGCTTAAATACAGGCATGTACATTTGTAAATGCATATATAACAAGATGGGAATAGAACTATGCACTCATATTTATATGTTAAGAGTTAAGGTTGCACATGGATATTGGGTCTTGACACAAGTACTCCATTAACACAAGAACACTTTGTTCTAACAATCTGGCATTCTGTGAAGCTCACCTTCCCGACACGAGCACTGAAGACAAAATGGGTACATAAGCAAATGTGGTGAAGAAAGCTGATGGT